CCCCCCCCCCCCCCCCCCCGCCCCGGTACCTGATGAGTTTGGGGGCGCCCAGTCCACGCTGTCACCCTGGTTACATCTAAGCCTCCAGCAGTGCAGGGCGGCTCTGTAGCTGCCTCCATTTCTGTCATTTTGTCATTGGGTTTCTGGGACCTGTGGTGGCACCCACTCTTTAGCTCAGCTGGTGGCAAATATCCCTGCTCTGGAAAGTCTCCCTAGAAACCCCCTCCTGGTGGTAGGAGGGGGCCTGCCTGCCCCTGCACTCCCGCAGGGGTTGGAGGATGCTGAACAGGGGCCCAGTTTATCTCCAAGTCACTGCCTGGGGGCTTAAAGGAGGAGGGGGATGGCGGATGGGGGGCGGAGGGAAAAGTGGATAGCAGGGAGAGGGCAGGCAGCGAGGGCCCCGCCCCACAAGTTCTCCCGTGTCTTCCCTGCAGCCAAGTACCCGGCCATCAAGGCCCTGATGCGGCCGGACCCGCAGCTCAAGTGGACGGTGCTGGCGCTGGTGCTGGTGCAGCTGCTGGCCTGCTGGCTGGTGCGGGGGCTGGCCTGGCGCTGGCTGCTCTTCTGGGCCTATGCCTTCGGCGGCTGCGTGAACCACTCGCTGACGCTGGCCATCCACGACATCTCGCACAACACTGCCTTCGGCACCTGCTGCGCCACCTACAACCGCTGGTTTGCCATCTTCGCCAACCTGCCCATAGGCGTGCCCTATGCCTCCTCCTTCAAGAAGTACCATGTGGACCACCACCGCTACCTGGGTGGCGACGGGCTGGACGTGGACGTGCCTACGCGCCTCGAGGGCTGGCTCTTTTGCACGCCAGCACGCAAGCTGCTCTGGCTGGTGCTGCAGCCCTTCCTGTACTCGCTGCGGCCACTCTGCGTGAATCCCAAGGCCATGACCCGCATGGAGGTGCTCAACGCCCTGGTGCAGCTGGTGGCCGATGCCACCATCTTCACTCTCTGGGGGCTTAAGCCCATGGCCTACCTGCTGGCCAGCTCCCTGCTGGGCCTGGGCCTGCACCCCATCTCAGGCCACTTTGTGGCCGAGCACTACATGTTCCTCAAGGGCCATGAGACCTACTCCTACTACGGGCCCCTCAACTGGATCACCTTCAACGTGGGCTACCACATGGAGCACCATGACTTCCCCAGCATCCCAGGCTGCAACCTGCCCCTGGTGTGTGGTCGGGCTGGGCAGGGCTGAGGGGGCGAGGGCTGCATGGATGTCTAGAGAGGTGGGAAGCCCCAGGGAGGGCCTTGGGCCATGCTCAGGCCACCTTTTCCTTTTCGTGCTGGTCATGGAATGGCCACTCTCACTCATGGTCCCCAGGGCAATGGGAAAAGCCACACAACACAGGCAAGTGGCCAGCTGGAGAATAAGGAGGCAAACTCAGGGAGGGCAAAGTCTCCAGAGGCATTTTACACTGCAGGCTGCTTGGTTTAATGAAAACCTGCTTGAACCCCGTTATGGCATTTACTAGCTGTGTGTCATTGGGCGAGTGGTTTCCCTCTCTGTGCCTCAGCTTCCTTTTCTGCAGTGGGTGGCATTAGCAATACTGCATGAAGCACCCTCCTTACTGTTGTCTCCTGACCCCCCATTCATGCTCATTGCTTGCCACAGCCCTGTGACCCTCTAAGAGTCCTTTTCTGGCTCAGAGGTGGCCATCTTGCCCTTTGCAACCTAAGGTGTGGCCAGAGCTGCCAGGCAGCGGGAGCCTTGGGGGTTGGCACCTTTGCCTTGGGAGACCTGGAGTTGGAGAATTTCTCAGCGAGAAAGGAGGCAGGGGAGGAAGAGGAGGAGTCCCTCAGCCCTTACCCAGCTCAGGCCAGTTCCTGTCTCGCACTTTGATACAGTCTGGCTGGATAGAACCAGCTGGGGTGCCCAGAGTGAAGGAGGCAGCGGTGGGGAGGGTGTTCGGGTGCTCAAATGTGTGAGTGTGTGCCTGCCATGTGTGCCATATTCGTCCATGTGACTGTGTGTTCCTGCCATGTGTGCCGTGTTCCATGTGATTGTGTGTTCCCGCTCTGTGTGCCACGTTCGTCCGTGTGATTGTGTTCCTGCCATGTGTGCTGTTTGTCCATGTGACTGTGTGTTCCCACCTTGTGTGCATGTATTTGTCCATGTGACTGTGTGGTCCTGCTGCGTGTGCTGTGTTCGTCCCTGTGATTATGTGTGAGTGCTTGTCCATATGTGCAGGTGTTCATGCCACGTCTGTGTGTACACACGTGTGTTCATGGTCTGGGCTGTGCTGCCCTTCCCCTCCTCCTCTGTTCCCGCTGACCGTACTGAGTCCCTGCACTGTGCCTGACATCATCACACCGAAACTGCACCACAGCCCATGAGGCAGGTGCTCTTGTTATCCTAATACCCACTTTACAGATGAAAAGGCAGAGGCTCAGAGAGGGCAGGGACCTGCCTCAGGAAGGCCAGAACACGGGCCCAACCTGGTAGATGTGTGCCTGCTGTTAGCTGTGCATGTCTCCTCTGCGGCTGGCCCCGCTGTCCTCAGCTTGAAATAGTCGAGAGCACGTCCTGGAGGAGGCAGGCAGAGGGTATCACGTGTGGAGCAAAGGCTGGAGGAGGAGAGGAGGTGCACTACGAGAAGGGCTGAGGAGTATGAATATGACCCTGGGGTTCCGCAGGATTCAGGCCCATGTGGGCCTCCTGGGTCGGAGAGTCAGGGGTGGGTTCTGGGGCAGGGATGCATTTTTAACTCCTCACCCTTCACCTGGGGAAGGTGTTTGAGCCTGTTGGTGCCCTCCCCATGACCCTGGGGTTCCGCAGGATTCAGGCCCATGTGGGCCTCCTGGGTCGGAGAGTCAGGGGTGGGTTCTGGGGCAGGGGTGCATTTTTAACTCCTCACCCTTCACCTGGGGAAGGTGTTTGAGCCTGTTGGTGCCCTCCCCAAGGGTCTCCCTCAGGCAGCACCAGCCAGGCTCTTCCTGGGAGCCCAGGGAGTGGTGAGCAGGAGGGAGGACCAGAGGGGTGGCCTGCCTGGCTGAGCTGGATACCAGCACCCCAGGAGGTGATGGGGTGAGTGTGTGCTGATGTGTATGTACATCTGAGCACGTATGTGCACGTGGGTGCTCACAGGTGCGTGGCCCCTGACCTCGGCTCCCCTCTCCACAGGTGCGGAAGATCGCGCCCGAGTACTACGACCACCTGCCGCAGCACTACTCGTGGGTGAAGGTGCTTTGGGATTTTGTGTTTGAAGATTCCCTAGGGCCCTATGCCAGGGTGAAGCGGGTGTGCAAGCTGGCGGAGGACCGCCTATGAGCTCAGCCACCAGTGCCCATCCTGAAGGTGGGAGCCCCAGAACTGGTTTGGTTGCATTTGATTCCGAACCCTGGGTGACTGCTTTTGCACCCACTGAGCCCCAGGAGTTGCCATCTGCAGCCAGGCCTGGCAACAGAGGCACTGGCTGCAGCCTGGAGGTGCTCCATCTGTGCATGGACTCGCCAGGGACCTCGGACAGGCCCTCCCTTCCTGGGCCTCACTGGGTAAGGCTTGGCCCTGCCCTGCCCGACCGGGACCTGGGTCCTCTGTACCCATTGTCTCCAGGGAGCCAATATCTGACACTCCCTTGCCCCAAACTAAATTCATCATTTATTTTCAGTCTGTGGATTGTGCTTCTCAGGGGGGTCTTGGCTAGAGCCTGGACCAGGCTGGCCCTGGCAGATGAAGCCTGAGGCGTCAGAGTGCTGCTCCCCCTGACCAGCCCCAAGTTGCTCCCCACTGGCCCCCGGCTCTTTGGGAGGGTTTCCCTGAGGGCCTTGTCATTGTGGGGCATGGGCAGCAAAAGCCATGCCTTGGATGTCTGCATGGTCCTGAAGCCCCTCATCAGCAGCCTGGCTCCTCCCCATGCTGGCTGAGCTCTGCAGAGGCCGTCAACCCACCCTCGGCCTCACTGCCAGCTCCTGCCACTCCCACCTGGCCTGCCTAAGACCTGCTCCACCTCACACCCTGACCTTGAATCTTTCCCTGAGCCCAGAGACGGTTTGGGCCCGACAGTGTGGGGGCTGTCCTCCCACAAACTTGAGTGGGGGCTGAGGAGTCCATATGGAACAGGTGCCCAAGGTCAGATGAGTGGCTGGACAGACAGGCAAACACCCAGGTGAAGTGAGCTCAGACGGGAGCTGGGCAGTGTCTGTGTGAAGTGGGGACATGCGACTCTCCTTTCTGCAGAGGGGCTGATGGCTCTGCACCGCTGAGACCTAGGAAGGCCACCTTCTCGCCAGTCATTTGGCTCTGGGGGGCTGGACTGGGGTGGGGTAGAGTGGGCCCCGGTGTCCCAGAGGCAGGCAGGCAGCAGGCAGGGTAGGCGTCTGAGGCCCTCCCTGCCAGAGAGGGACAGGTATGGGCCTGGCCCCGCAGCTCTCACCACAGCCCCAGAAAGGCAGCCTCCATGACTTAAGGAGGGGAGACTGAGGCTGGGGTCCAGGGCTTGGCCTCCACAGGTGGAGGTGGGGGTGCTGTTTCTGCAAACCTAGGGGAGGCTGGAAGGAGGGAGGTGACAGCCCTCGCCCTTGGGCCTGGGAGCAGCCTTCTGTGGAGCCAGACGCCTTGTTCCTGAATGGTCTGAGATAGCTGGGGAGAGCCTCAAGCCCCAGGGCTTGTTCTGCAAGGGAAGCGCAGCTCAGCTGGGAGGACTTGGAGCCAGGCAGCGGCCCCTCCCTGTGTATACAGGCCTGCCCAGGGGCCAAGGGGAGCCCCAGAGAGGCCACCTCCTCCCCTGGCTGCACCTCAGAGGTTCCTCTGTGTCTGCCAGCACACTTATCTGGGCAGGTGTGCAGATCATCCCTGCTGCCATGGGGACCCTCTTTGGAGGGTGCAAGAGGAGACTTCGTGGAGAGAGTGGAGGGCAAAGCTGCCTTCCATTTCCGTGCCGCCTTGCGGAGCCCCGAGTTCCACTTCCTCCACCTGGACAGTCCTGGGCCTTGCTGAGCAGAATGCACTCGGAGTCCCTGGGATATTCTAGGTCATGGGCTACACTTGGGGTCCATCTACCTGGGGGATCCCATGAGGGGGTGGCTCCCTACAGGTAGGACCTAAGGCCCAGCCACACAACCCTGGCCAGAGGTACCTGAGCTGCCCAGGCTCACCCTCCTGGGTCTCAGGGATGTTCTGATTGAGCCTGGCCCCAGCTACCCACTGAAGACTCCCAACTTGCTCCTGTTCCTCCTGGTCACTGCAGTCCTGGGCCCTTCTCTGAAAAGGGGTATCCCTGGCCAGGAGCACCAAGAGCCACTGTGACAGCAAGAGCCTAAGCCTGTGGCTGTGGACAGTAAACCATTTATTACCGTGTGGACACAGACACCGTGGCGAATGGACAGACTGTTTCAACACCATGAGTGCTGGGGACGGAGCTGTGCTGGGACAGCTCTGTTGTGTGTGGTGACGCCACACAGTGCCCGGCCGTCACTGCCAGCTAGGGTGCTATCAGCGTCACCTGGGAGAAAACCTGGAAACAATCTAATGAAGTGGGTGATGTGGGGCATCCTCTCTATGTACCAAAGAAATGTATACTTAAATAAGCAAATATAAAATACAAAAAAAGACGAGTAGACCTGATGTTCTGTGTCAGACAGAATCTAAAAAATCCAGGAATTGAATTGTTTCTTCATTTTGATATCTGCTCACGGGTTAGACTGAACTGAAGCACGTCTGGGCTCCCGTGCTGCGTGGTAAGTGCTGGAAGCTGGGGCTGGCTGGGCTCCTCACGGTCTTCTACCATCCATGGACCCGATGTCTCAGCATGGCCTTGGCCAGCCGGCTGCTTACGTGGTGCTAATACCACTCAGCTCTTGTCTGATGGCTGAGGGACAGGACAGGGGACAGAGGCTCATGTGTAGCCACGGTGAGCCCAGTCCCTTCCCCTTGACAGGGCCTGGCCCCGTGCCCCCAGTTTGGCCTGTCTGATATCTGTTTTCCCTGCTCGGTCTCCTGGGTGCCCCACCTAGGCTCCCAGAGGTCACGGGGCATGGGTGAGGGGCCGCACAGTACGGTGGGCTTGGCACAAAGCACTGGTCAATCTCTACCACTCCTCCTGCCACAGTCCCCGCAGTGAGGAGCTGCTCTGTGCTGCTCAAACCAAAGGTCTTTGTAGAGTCTGCACAGGCGGCATCCAGGCCCACCCGAAGGACCTAGGAGCCCCACCCAGACAGAGCGGAGGCCCACAGCAGGGAACCCCTTGGCTTGGGGGCTGGGTGGACAGTATGGCTCTGCTGACTCCCTTGGCCTGACCCCTTTTCTCCTCCTGCGAGGGACATGGGTTTCTCTCCTTCTCCCAGCTTCCTCCTGTCCCTACCCCAAGCTATTCTGTGGCTGCTGGAGAGAAAGGCGTGTTTCACCCCTACCCTCCTCTCCCCACATGTGGGCCTTTCCCTCCTCCCTCCCACCCAGTGGCTCCTGCCCCAGACTCACAGACCTCTGATGCCCTCCCCTCTTCCATGCCCGCTCAGGCCTCTCCCCGGTCAGACCTCACTGGGCCTGGGGCCAACAGCCAAGGCAAAGCCGAGGGGTGGGCCATCATCAGCTAACAGGGGCTCTTTCTCAGTGCCCCTGGCTTTGCCTGTGCTTCTTCCTGGGGAAGCCACCTGTGAGGTGGGTTCCACCTGGGGCTGCATCTATGGCAGGTGGAGGGACTGAGGCCAGGGACATGAGGTTTCTACCATGCCCCGCTGCCTCCATTCCAGCCTCTCCTTCTGCAGACAGGTGGGCTTGGCACCCAGCAATAAAGCAGTTAATAGTTGGACTCTGTGTCTGCCTTTGCGACTCCAACTCTGTCTCATTCCCCTTATTTAGTAACTCTTTATCTCCCCAGCCCAGGCCTTTAGGGGAACTGGACAAACAGGAACAGTGCTCCCTGCCTGGACAGGGTGTGGCCTGGCTGGGGGAGGAGGCCTGGGTTTGTGGCTCCCAGCAGCCTTCCTTCATGGCCTTTTTTCTCTCAGAGTCTAGACAACCCACTGCCATTGGCCTCCACCCCTTTGAGTTCATGGGACCCTCCTGCCCAGGTCACCACTGATGCCTTCACTCCCCTGGTGGGAGCAGTAGCTGGGGGTGGGCACAGGCTGTGCTGGGGCAGCTCTGCCCAAACCTTCCCTCTTCCCTTGGCTGCAGATCTGAGCCAACTCCCTCAAAGACTTTGGTGGGAGTCGGAAGGACGGATGTGATGCACCGGGACCTGGCCCTGCTCTCTGGAACCAGGGGCAAGCAGGCTGTGTATGAGCTCAGGCCTATAAGGTAGTCCTGTGGCTCTTGGTCCCCTGCACCCCAGGAAGGCAGCAGTCCCCCTCAGTACCTCTATACCAGTGACTGGGGTGGCAGAATCAAAGAGGCACTATAAGTCAATAGATAATGAAATAAAGAACACAAAGTTCAAGCTGCTTCTACAAGACTTAGCTTTGGGATGTGTGCTAGGACCACTCTCCCCTCCCATGTGTATACCACAGCGGGTTCCCCAGGAAGAAGCATAAGGAAGCAGAAAGAGCTCAGATTCAGGGTCACACCACCAGGCAGGTATTCTTAGGCAAGTCACTTAACTTCCCTGAGCCTCAGTTTCTGCAACTAGAGATTGGGGAGGGTAGTGTGGGCCATTATGAGAAGAATGAGATCTCACAAGTACAGTGGTGGGCCCTGGCTTGAAACTGCAGGCTGTTTGGCCTGGATGGCCACCCTGGGTGACAGCAGCTCTGGCCTCTCTCAGGGACCCTTTCTGTGGCCTGCCTTTATTTTCCCCTCCCCAGTGTGGGCCCTCCACTCACCATCGATGATTTCCTCCTTCACTTTGTGAAGTTCTCTGACGACCTCCTCTAGGATCTCCTGTTGAGAGCAGAGCCTCAAGGTGAAGGGACAGGCAGTGGAGACAGGGAAGCTGGCATCATGGGGGATGTGTCTGCAGGGGTAGGGGCCTCCCACGCCTCTCTCCAGAGCTGCAGCACTCACCCTCACCCAAGTTCTCCTCCCAGGCTGGGGGAAGGGAGATGCTAATGGGTGTCCAGGCAGATCCTGCTACCTGCCCCAGAGAAGAAAGCCCCTGCAACAGACTGGAGTGAGCGCCCAGTAAGGCAGGGGACACCGTGGTCCTGGTTATGGCTGGGGACATATGAGGCTGGGGGAAGGGAGATGCTAATGGGTGTCCAGGCAGATCCTGCTACCTGCCCCAGAGAAGAAAGCCCCTGCAACAGGCTGGAGTGAGCGCCCAGTAAGGCAGGGGACACCGTGGTCCTGGTTATGGCTGGGGACATATGACGTGCTTGGGCACCCCTTTCCTCTGTAGGCTGTCTCTCTGACTGACTTTTTAGCAGCCACATGTGGGCCCCATTGGGCCTGCCTGGCCCTGCTGACCAGAGATGGCCCAAGCCTGAGGGAAGGACACACTCACCTGCTTCATCCGGTCCAAATCTAAGGCATCCAGGGCCACATCATTTACGCTCCCAGCAGGCTTCATCCTGGGGAGAGGAATGGCAGGGCGCGGTAAGGTGGTGGATGGACCCGTGGGCACCTCTGTGCTAGGGACTGGTATCAGATCCAGGGGGGCCAGAGATCCCCACTCAGGGCCAAGCCATGCTTGTGCCCCTGGCCTGTCAGAGGCTCTCTGCCTTTTACCTCTAGCCACACTTAGGCTGCTCGAAAAAGATTCTAATGCCCAGTCTCTACCTCCAGAGGGTCTCCCTGGATACTGTGACCATATTCCCCAACCCAAGAGTCAGGACTTGGAGCCTAACAAAGGAGCCGTTTTCTGACTTTAGAACTCTCACGCAGATGGTGCTGCCCATTGCCCACTGCCTCCTGGGAAAGAAAGCGGTATTGACAACCTACTCCTTGGTGTGGGAGTCCATGTTCCTGGCTAACCCGAGGCCTGGGGAAAATGCACAATAGTGGCGTTGAGTACATGTGAAATTGCCCATCCTGCAGGCTCT